GCCCGGCGGGACGGCCGGCTCCCGCGGCCTCTCAGCTCCCGGGGGCGCGGCCTGCGGACACGGCCGACACAGGCTCCCGCGGGCGGGAGGGGTACCCCGCTCTCACCGAAGATCTCTCGCGAGCGCTGCTCGGCGCATACGCCGCGGCTCAGCTCCCTCTGGCCAACGCGGACCTTGAGCTGCAGCGGGCCCGCGTCCGCGAACGGACAGCCCCGCTTGGGCATGGCCGCGGGCCCGGAACGGCGCAGCCCAGCCGCGCGCGTCGCCGCGACCCGTGACGTCACAGCCGCGCGCCAACGCGGAGCGGCGCGGGATAGGCCGGGGGCTAAGGCGGGGGCGGGGTTCGAAAGCGGTGGGGCGCGGGATAGGCTGGGGGCGAGGACGGGGGCAGGGCTCGAGCGCGGCGCCGGATAGGCCGGAGGCGAGGGCGGGGGCGGGGCTCGAAGGCGGTGCGGCGCGGGATAGGCTGCGGGCGAGGGCCGGAGCGGGACCCGGCTGCGCGGGAAAAGCCGAGGGAAGGGGCGGGGCCGGGGTTCGAGCGCGGCAAGGGACGGGCCGAAGGCAAGGGCGTGGGGCGGGGCTCGAAGGCGTCGCGGCGCCGGATAGGCCGAGCTTAGGTTGGAGGCGGAACCGGTGCGCCGGGGGCGGGCCTTGTGTGAGGCGCGCCGCGGGATAGGCCTAGGGCGACCTGGAGTCGGGACGCGGCGTGGCGGAAGGGGCTGGGGCCACGTCGGGGGCGGGGCGGGTGTGTCGGGGTTTTGCAGGGGGGTGGTCCCTGCACAACTGTGGAAACTGGTTATAGTCCCTCGTTTAAGTCACCGGAGTTGGAGGACGATTCGCGTTTTCCTAAATCTTAAGCGGGAGGACCTCCTAGTCACGGAAGTGGGCAGTGCCGTCCGGCCGTCCTGGACGCTTCCGGGGCACGACGTCACTTCCGGCCGGCGGGAGGGAGGGTGGCGTTGGGGGCTGCCGCGGCCGTGTGGGGCCGCGCTGCGGGGACCGTGCGGGTCTTGGGACGTTGTCCAGGGCTTTGTGTCCGGGTGCGGCGTGCGGGGTTGAGGGGGCCTCGGGGGCCCGGCTGGCCTCGGCTCATCTTGCGAGGGCCCCCCGGACGACCTCCGTGCGGCGAGCCCCCGACAGTGGAGCTGCTGCGCGAGGGTGTCTAGGGCGGAAGCGTGATCATAGTGGGGGACAGGCCGTGCCACCCCCACGCTCCCCGCAGCCCGCGTCACGGGGCCAAGACACGGAGCCGCCCGCCGCCGTCCTGCCCGGATGGGTGCAGGAGGATGCGGCTGCAGCGGGCACCCAGCGCACTGTTGCTCAGCCACGGAAAGGAAGGACGTTTGCAATGACGCAGGCGCGGACCTGGAGGACGTTATGCTGGGTGGAATACATCAGACAGAAGAGGACAAATACTGGACGATCTCACCAGTAACGTGGAATTTCGAATCGTCAAACTCCCAGAAGCAGCCGATGGTGGTTGCCGAGCGATGGGTGTGTGTAGGACATGGGGAGGTGCTGGTCAAAGATGGATCTGTGCAGCATGATGACCATACTTAACAACACTGCGTACTTGGAGGTTGCTGAGAGAGTAGATCTTCATTGTTCTCAGCATTTTCTCACGACAAAATGGGGTGAAGAACGTGTTAACTGACCTCCTTGTGTATCAGATCATCACATTGTACACCTTAAACTTACACAGTGGGTTCTATGTACAATTAAGGCACGTGCTACATGTCATTTATAACTCAATGCTAGGAAAAAGGCTAATTACCTCCCTTATCTCCAAATACAGTCACATTATGAGGGCCTGAGAATTGGGACAACATGGGAATCTAAGGGGGATGGGATTCAGCCTGTAACAAATGCCAAGCTCTGCACTAGGCTCTTGGAGTGGTGCTGGGTACAGCCAGTAGGGTCCCTCCCCCTGGTGGGACAAATGTCACAAAAGGGGGAAGGACACCCCAGGAAACAAAAGCCAGGTTCGGAGCTCATGGGAAGCATGAGCCTAACAGCATAACCTCAGAAAGCTGGACATTCTGGAAATGAACATTGATCAGATCGAGGAAAGAACACAGTTTCTGTTGTCCTGTGAGGAGGCAGCACACTTTCCCCTCCGGACAGACGGACAGAGGAGGCACACTCTTTGAGATGTCTAGTCAAGGCTGCCTCGGGGCCCTAAGATCTTGAGTAATTACCATCTCAGCTGTTCCAAAGCTAGGTAGTGCGGTTGTACGACTCTGAGCAACTTTAGTTGGAGCATAATTTACTCAGAGCGAAGCTGTATGTGTCTCTACCCGGTGGAGTGCCCGGATGAGAGAGGCACAGTGGCATCCGTGACTACAGAGGCATATGCCTGCAGGACCACGAGAGGCCGCCACTCTGCTTTCTGTCCCTGCAGGGTAGGGCTACTGCCCCAGAACCTCATACGTGGGCAGACTCATTCTGCAGATGGACACGTGTGCATTTGTGTTGGGCTCCTTCGCGTGCCGACGTTGAGACCCCCAGTGGTGGTTCCTTTTGGTGCTGAGTGTATTCCGTGTGCAGTTTGTTCACCTGTCCCGGGATGCCCGGGCTGGCGCCCAGTTTGGGATGTGACAAAGGCAGCTTCTCTGAATAGTCTTCTATAAGGCTTTTTCTGGACATCGGTCTTCATTTACTGTGGTCAGCGCCTAGGAGCGGGATGGCTGGGTGGCAGGTAAAGGAATGTTCAGGGAACTGGCAGCTTTTCAGAGTGTTTGGAAGAGCACAGCAGTCAGCATTAACTACTGATTTGTCTTTTCCTCGTGTGTTGAGCTGAGACCACTATGAGCTCCTCCACGCTGCAGGTGTTAGGGTGCAAAGAAGAGAGAGCACCTCATGACTACTCAAACCCTCCAACACCTGATGCTAGAAAAGGGGGGCTGTGTGCACTAACGCATCCCTCAGAGGAGACAGCCTCCTGTCCCTGGGCCATGAGAATGAGGAAGTTGGTGCCAGGGAAGAATCATTGTCCCTGGAAGTTGGTCTTTTCAGCCTGTACAACGCTACAGACGCCCAAGGACACTGCCTGAGGCTGCCTCCTCTAGATTTTGTCTAGAGGTAGAAGAAAATCAACAACAACTTGTCTTCAAGTGAAGGATTTAGCAGCCACTACAAGATAGAGGTTTGAAAACAGTTTTTGCAGCTAATTTAAATTGCAGGTTAACCTTATAAAGCCAGGCTTGTAGCTTTTTAGGCAGAATGAAATGATTTCTCTTTCTTTTGAAAAATGCCAGCTCGGTTGACTATCAAAGGCGTGCATCTCTGTTGTGGCAAGATGCGGCCAGACGGCCATCTCATACAGAGAACTGCGTGTGGGGTCCAGTGTAGTTGAGGGGGCAGCCCCTCTTTCCTGAAGAACCGACCCCTGCTTTGCCGCATCATGGAAGGAAATAATTCTCGGAAAACTCAACAGTTTCTGGTGGTGCTTCTCACTCCTGCCTTCAAGTAGCTGTGCTCCTCACTGACTGGAAGGTCCAGGGAAGCTGGTTGTAGCCCATTTTCCTGGCTTCTTTCAAATCACTCAAGACTCATCTGGGCACTGTTTGGAGCAGTTTGCTAGAGTGCGTGACGTCACAGGAGTTTCAGAATGGAGCCTGCTCATTAAAGCTGCTGTCACGTGGTTAGCGGCTCCCTGGTGTAGGCCAGTCAGACTGGAGCCCCGTGTGGTCCCTGGGAAGCAAGCCCCGTGGGCACTCGACCCATTTCCATGAGCCCGGATGCCAGCGTCAGGGTTACAAGGCCGGGATTTAACCCTGACCGACTCTGGGTCTCCCCATCTAATTCCTTCCCTCTCCCGAATGATACCGAGAGGGCGGTTATTTTTCTAAATTTACCCCAGACTCTCTGAAGAGTTGTTCAAGGAGGCTCCTCAGCTTCCAGTGGAGACCACAGTAAGCTCGAGCAGCTGTGGCCTGTTAAGAAGTGACTGATTCAATCCAGTGACCTCCAGAGGGATGAGGGCAGGTGCATGCAGCTGACGTGAAGAGGGGCTGCTGGGGGGCTGCCTCCGCCCCGTGCAGGGGGGCTTAGAGCTCAAGGGGGCGCTCCTGTAACGATTCCCTTTTGGGAAGCACTGAATGCCTGTGGTCTCGCCTACCTGGGCCCGTTCCAGTGACCAGTTTGCCGTCTAAGCAAGCAAACAGTTCGGCTTTGTGATACCGGAAATGTGCATCCCCCAGACTGTTGTCGCCGCCAAAGTCAAAACGAAAGGACAGAACCAGACACGGACCGATCACCACTACTCAGTGGCTACTGCGTATGTTTATTACTAAACGGCTCCAGCCAGCCATACAACCATGTGACAATTAATGTGCCATAAAAGTTCTCTGTTTTGAGTACTTTGGCTCATTTTCAGTAGCAGGATTTAAAAAAAAAAACAAACATACACAACGCTGGCCGTCAGATGTTTGGATCACTGTAGAAATCGATGGCTGAGCTGAAGGCTTGGAGAGATATATAAAAGTACAGAAACTAGTTTTCCTACTTCTGCGTTTCGGGCGGTGACTCTGCGGCTGCCGATGAGGGACAGGGCTGCTGCGCTCCGCAGGCTCAGCGCTCTCCGTCTAAAAGAGCTGGATCATCGAATCTCTTGATTTGCCGACCCCAACCCATTTCACTGGAAGGGAAAAGAGTTGCTCAGCCCCGGGGGTGGGGGGTGGGGCACAGAGGGCGGGATGGTGGCCGGGGCACATGCACCCACCTGCCACTCCGACGTGATTCTCCACGAACCGGACGTAGTTCTGGGCCTGCGGGGGGAGGTCCTCCCACTTCCTGGCGCCCGCGGTGTCCGCCTTCCACCCAGGCAGCGTTTCGTATTCAACCTCAACCTTCTGCAGTATCTCCTGGTTCGCTGGGGAGACAAAGGGTCGGGGGTGGCCCATGTCCCGAAGATCCTGGTGCTCGGGTCTCCCATTCGGGGACCTGCTTGCCGCGGGGCTCAGCCAGGCGGAAGGCACATGGCCCTGGTTGGTTTTCTCGGGGGCGCGGGGGGTGAGGGTTCTCTGACGTTGGCCGTATCCCTGCCAGACCAGGGGATACGTCCACCCCAGACAAGGATTGCTAAGGGCTCTGCTAGAACCTCCACAGGTGGCTCAGCTGAGGAATTCCATGGACCCCACTTGGAAATTCTTTTTTTTGTTTTTTTAAGATTTTATTTATGCATTTATTTATTTAGAGAGTGAGCATGCAAGGGGAGGGGCAGAGGAGAGAGAAAATCTCCAGCAGACTCTGCCCTGAGCACAGAGCCCTACGTGGGGCTTGATCTTACGATCCCAAGATCATGACCCAAGCCGAAATCAAGAGTTGGATGCTTAACTGACAGAGCCACTCAGGTGTCCCCCCTTCTCCCAACTAGGAAATTCTAAGAGTCCTGAAGCATGACAGGATCCTGAAGAATCTCTGTGTCCTGTTACCAGGGCAAGGACCCTGCTCCAGCCAGGACTCCGTGGCTCCTGGGCATGTGGCTCACAGTAGACGCCAACCAACCCTTATTGATGGAAGGTGCTGGAACAAGCTGTCTCCTGAGGGGTCCTCACTGCACGCTCCCCTGGGCCCTGGATCCCTGGGGTCACACCATACCCCCGCTGTGTCTTCTCAAAGGTCAGGGGTCAGTGGGGCCAGGGGACACAGGCCAAGGGGAGCAGGGGGTCTACACATGAGCTCAGAAGAGAGTGAGGGCTGCAGGGAAGAAGCCACTGGGGCGGCGGGGCGGGGGGGGATGCGGTCAGAACGGGAACTATGAGATCCAAGAAAACATTCGCCTTTGTACTCTCTAAAAGAAGGGACACACGGTAGCAGAAACCCCTTAGGTCTTAAATAACTGAAAACCGTGTTTTCTTAGGTAAAACAGTCATCTTTACGTTTGCACAGAGCAGTCCACGCCTGCCCGGGGAGCTTCCAGGGTGCCCAGGAGGTGGGCCTTGGCAGCGCCTAAGAGTCCCGCAGGGTCTGGGGTTAGCGGGGGCTGGCTCCCACCTGTCCCCCCAGGCTGCAGACCCATCCCTTCTCCTCTTCCCATGCAACAGACGGGAGAAGCCATGGCATCCCCGTACCTGGGAAATAGGGGATCCTCTTCCCGTTCAGCTTGTACGAGACGCCGACTTTCACCTCGTCCAGGGCATCCAGGATGTCCAGTTTCGTTAAGGCCAGCCTGTCCCCAGACCAGCAGACGGAGCGACACTGGAGAAGCTGCCGGCATGCTGGGCCTGCACCCTTTCTCTGCCCTGCTATTTACAGTCGCCGGGAAACGCAGACGGGGTGGCCCCAGAAGCACGCAGGCGGGCTCGGGAGTGCGGCTTCTGCCTGGCTGAGGTCTCCTCGCCTCGGGTGTCCCCATGGGACCCCGTTCCCGCGGCCCCGGGGCCTAGTGGCCCTCCGACAGCACCGCGTGTAGGGACACCCAGGGACCGCGTCGAGCCACAGTCCTCCCTGGCACAGGCCCTGTTCCTTCCGCGTTCCCTTTCCTTCCTCCCTCATGGGCCCTTGCGGCTGGGTCTCTCTGTGCTTCCTGCGCCCGTGGTGGCCAGGCCACCCTGTCCTCTGCTTTGCTGCGGCCTCAGCACCTTGGCGCTCAGAGCGCAGCCTCTTTGGCACCTGGTCCCAGGGTGGGGACAGTGTCTCCCTCCCACCGCCCAGCCCCACACCCCAGCAGACCTAACGGAGTGAGGTCCGGCCAAGCCAGGCCAGGCCAGGCCTGGCCCCGCGGAGAAGGAGTCGTGTCCCTGAGGACCACGGTGGAGGCCCTCGGGGCTAGGCTTCCTCTCCCTCTCTAGATGGACGATTTTAACCCCCTACAGGGGCCAGGACGCCCTCTGACCCCCTGCGGCCGCCTCCCCCGCACGTGCTTAGGAGCAGATGGCCGGCCGGCTCTGAAGCCGTCCACCGCCGAGGCCCCGCCGTGCCAGACGGGAGACTCGGTGGCCTGCACCCCCACGTGACGACCGTGCGGGAAGGGCTGCTTACGCGGTAAAGCCGTTGACCATGTGAGCATATCTGAGAATCATCAGGTCCAGCCAGCCGCACCGCCTCTTCCTGCCTGTGGTCACCCCCCACTCGTGGCCACGGCTCTGTAGCAGGTCTCCGATTTCCTGCGTGACAGCAGAGCAGGTCCGCCGCGGCATGGAGGGGGAGCCTGCGCCTGGCTGCTTCGGGGCTCAGCCTTTCTCTCTGCTGCCTCCTGCCCCTCCCCTCCTCCCCCACTTCCCACGCTGGCCTCACGCACCCCTGCTCAGGACCAGAGCCTTGGGCCCTCGCCGCCAAGGGCACAAGGCCATGTTGAGGAAAGGCGGCCAGCGGCACCCTGAGGGGGTCCCTGAGCCGCACCACACGGGCTGCTCTGAGGGGCCGTGAGGCCCTCCGCCCGTCTGCAGTGCTTCCCGGGGAAACCGGGTCCGCGGGAGCTTGTGTGGTGCAGGGCTGTTGGCGCCCGCCACCTTGCGTGCACCTGTGGATGCCTGTCTCTGCTCTTGCCTTGTGTGTCTCTGCACACGCCACCACTGGGCGCCCCGCTGGGGTCCCGCTGGGGCTGGGGACTCACATTGATCTGCTCGGTGGGAAAGGCGCCGATGCCCACGCGTGTGGTGTAGGCCTTCACCACACCGTAGACCTCGCCTATGTTCTGCGGGGGGATGCCCAGGCCTGTGCACACGCCGCCCACGGTGCAGTTGGATGACGTCACAAAGGGGTAGGTCCCTGCAAGACCGAGCGGGTCAGGGCCCGCTGCCACCCCGGCAGGCCACCCCGGCCCCGGGCTCCAGCTCGGCAGAGGGCGGTGCGTGCTTCGGCCTCCTGCATGTCCCCTTCGTGGGATCTCCAGGGCCCACGGTCCCAGAGACCATCCTGGGGGAGTGACCCACGTGGGCACTGTGCATCAGGCCGCTGTGGCCTGTGTAGGAGTCTGGGGTGAATAGCGGGAGAAGGCTGCTCCCGACTTGGATGGTGGGTGCCTCCCCTGCCTGGACCGTGTGGCCTTGGCGCTGGGGTGGCCGTGGGGTCGGGACAGGACGTACAGAAGGCCCACATGGATGGAAGCACCGGCTCTACCCAGCCTCGCTGGGAGCCCTGGCCGCAGCTCTGGCCTCTCTCCCCTTCTGTCCAGGTCAGCTCTCTCTCTTGTCCCTCCCAGCTGAAGTAGGAAGATGAGGGGCAGCATGATCACTGTCGTGGGCAGGGTGGCAGTGTGGCTGTGGAAGGCAGCCCTGCCACATCCGGTCAGCGACCGGCCTGGTCCCCAGCAGGGAGGAAAGGGGGATCGTGGGGATCAGCCGGGCTGGGGACCTACCAAAGTCAATATCAAGGAGGGCTGCATTGGCACCTTCCACGAGGATTTTTTTGGGGGTGCCGTGGAGCGCCTCGTACATAAAGTAGACGCCGTCTCGGACCATGGGTCGGATCCGCTCAGCAAAGCCCTGCGGGGGAGGCAGAGGAGGCTGCGGTGGGGCCAGTCCCCTCCTGACAGCCAGACACCTCCAGTGCATTCCTTTCCCGAAAGAGGCCTGGCCTGCAAACCTGTCCTGAGACCTGGAGCGACCCCCAGTCCTGTCTGGGTCTTGTCTGTGAGGCTGGCACTAGCCTCCTGCAGCCATGGGCTGAGTTGTCCCCCCCCGCCCCGACTCCCGGGTTCATCTGTTGAAGTCCTGACCCCCAGCATCTCAGAACGTGACTGTATTTGGAGACAGGCTTTCAAAGGGGGGATTAAATTGAGGTCGCTATGGTGGGCCCTAATCCAGTGTGACTGACGTCTTCATTGGTCTGGCCCTGTCCTCATTCACAGCTCCCCTAAGAGGGCTGGGAGGAGCCAGGAGCCCAGCCTTGGAAACTTCCAGAAAGGCTCTGTGCTCTCCTCATCCCATCCCTGACACTGCACTGACCCTCTACGAGTCAGCAAGGCCACCTTTACCAGCTACCCCAAATAGGACAGGGACAGCCTCTTTCCCCAGCCTGTCCTGGGAAATGTCCCCTGGCCTGGGGGCGGGGGAAACCTTCCTGCCCTCCCTGGCCTGGGCTTGCACAGGGGGCCTGTGGTCCCCAAGAGGGCCAGCCACCCCATAGCAGTGCCTGGGACAGTGCGCTCCCTGAGTGCTGCCTGGGCGTCTGGCAAG